TTTAAGAATTACTGCAACATTATGAAAATTCAACGCACCTCGGACGCGAAGGACAGCCTCTTCATCTCTCCCCCCGAGATGCCCTTTACTCGGCCTGGGATGCCGATCATGGTGTTCTCGCACTTGGACAGCGCCAGCTGAGGACATAGGTTCCATTCACATCACTGTGTCGCTGACCGCGCGGCCACGACGCGACGTCCGCTTCCTCAGGTCGCGGCCACTCACCTCGGAGATGACCTCGTCCACCCTGCGCATGCGCCGGGCGTAGGGGATGTGCCGGTCCATGCGCACGAGCGCCTGGAACACGAGGTGCTCGCGCACCGTCAGGGTGCCGATGAAGAGGTCGTCCTGCTGCACGTAGGCCGAGAGCGCGGCCAGGGCGTTGCGGCCGACGCGGACGCCATTGACGCAGCGCCGCCCCGTCACGGAGACGCCGTTGCCCGAGCGGAAGGTGAGGGTGTTGAGCAGCGTGGTCTTGCCAGCGCCGCTAGCGCCCATGATGGCCAGCAGCTCGCCCGGGTACGCCACGCCGAACACGCTCTTGAGGATGTGCTTGCGGTGCGGGGCGGCCGCCCGCCGGCCGGTGCACCGCGACCACAGCGAACGGGCGGCCTGCAGCGCCCCGCCGCGCTGCTCGTCCCCGCTGAAGACGTTCACGTCGCTCCACGAGTAGACGAGCCGCTCGCAGCCCATGGGCGACAGGATCGTGTCCCGCGGCGGCCCGCCCCCGCCGTCGTCGCTGCCGGGCCCCCCGCCGCCCTTCCCGTTGACGGGGCTCCCGTTGAAGCTCCCGTAGCCATTGCCAGTCTTGTGGCTCTCCTCGAGGTACGCCGGGGGTACGCCGTCGTTGGCGTAGATGTGCTCGGAGTCCTGCGGCGATGAACAGGGGGTCCGTTATAGACTTGGTTTCAAAACCATCTATTGAGACAAGGTTTACCTACCGCACCCGGCCCACTTTCCGCGTCACATTTTTGTCAGTGTGGGTAGCTAATCAGATCAAAGAAAGTAGTAGTATGTGTCTACTCTGTCTACTGTACTTAGCAAATAGCCAGCTTGAGGGGCGTGGCGCTGCGCCCCGCGCTGGACACGAGCCTTCAAGGGTCCCCCTCCCCCTTGCAGGTGTCACGTTACCCTGCACACACGCACACACACGCGCGCGCGCGAACACACACACGCGCGCACACACACACACACACACCGTACGCCGCAACGGGAAGCCCGTGCACGGCGTGCGCCCACCGCTGTATCGTGGCCGCTGCTGCTGCACCTCTGCTGAAGCGACTCGGCCAACCCTTTCGCAAATTCGCACGCAAGGGCCATATAATATCGGCTCTGCGGCCTGATGATGATGCATAGGGTGACGATGGCCGAGCACAGATATATACCGTTCTTAACCTTATCCTCAAAGATTGATTCTTGGGATAGGAATGCGCGCCTTACGTAACGTAAGCAGGTGAGGGGCCGATCGGGGGGAGGAGAGGGGGGGGGGGAGCACTGCCACGGCCAGCGGAACAGAGTCTGGGCGACGCGCCGCGCCAGAGGCTCCGGCAGGCCAGCTAGACACGCTGCGCGCTGCGCTGCCGTACGGCTGAGGCTCCCGCCCCGCAGCTCGCCGGGCTCCGCCATGGCTCTGCCGGGCACACCACAAGGCCAGGGCGCCTTACATAAGCCGCCTCGTAGAGCCGCGGCTGGAGGCTGCGACGGGCGGAAGGGATGGGCTGGAGCATGATGAGGCTCTAATAACGCATCCGCCACATTAAAAACAAGCTCTGATTTTGATTTATTTGTTGTAGTATTGTAAAGGGCTATACTGGAAAAAAGGGGCAAAACATTATAAGGAACTTGATTCCAGAGACTTTGAAAACTCCTCACGGAATGAAGAGAGTTTCCTTCTTAAACGTTAGACGTATGCGCCCTGGCCTATGATTAATTAAGGAAGTGTCCTCATTTTTTTTGAAGTGTTTGGAATCTCCTGAAAGTTTTCACTCTTTCCTCGTCGTGGCCAGATTAGCCACAAAAACATCAGAACTTGTTTTTTTTTACCGTGAGGCTGCCCACGTGGCCGCGCGGCTGGCACACACGTCCTTCGTGGCCCCGCCCGAGTGACAACTACAAAACGAAATTTAATGGTGACCTCCCACCTCTTTCTTACACTCCTCCCCCCTAACCGTACCTCATGTCTAAGCCCAGTACCACGCCGGCAGTGCTCCGTCTCTTTTTGAATGGGAGCCAGGGAATTTCTAATCGGAATCGAATCGGAATGCACCTGCAGTGAGGAGTAGTACAGTAAACTGGAAAACATTATGAAGAATATCGTATGTACACTCCTCGGAGACACGATACAGCACCGCTGGGCGCAGAGAGGTAGTCTTGCCGCTGGCCCCGCCAACAATTTTGGGACTCCCGGTTAGTTTTAATGGGAGAATACCCTCCACTCCACCCTCCCCTGCAGCCTCCGCGATCTTTACTTTTTACACAGTCGACGACAATGTGGCCAAAACTGCTGCTCGGCTGCCAACGCGGAACACGGGCCGCGGCCAGTCCAGTCCAGTTGGGCGACTGGACTTTTGGGAAGAGTGTACAACACTCGGGCGCCGCCATATCAACCATCTAATCGGCCGTCCTGGGCTGGACTCGAACGCCTTCTGCAATGCAGCCTCCCGAGGGCCGCGATGAATCAAAGCCAAAAACGTGGAAAATTTATTCTCAGTCGAGGGGCAACGGGGCGTGGAGGGGACGGGCGCTCCATTTGAGACCGAGCGGTCACTTTGGTGTCTTCCAGCCGGGTGGACAGCATCGTGCAGACAGCTGAGCGGGCACTGCGGGGGGCAGAGGGGGCCTCCGGAGGGGCGGCGGCCCTGTTGTGGCCTGGCCGGACGAGATTCCAGACGCCCCCCCCCCCTCCTCTACCCCGGTCAGCATCACCCTCCTCCTCCTTGCAGTTTTGCAGACGCCATATTAAAATTCGGAGCAAACATACAGACAGGCGTGGAAGAAAACGCACCGACCGTGGAAAAAGGCGAAGAGGGGAAAGGGTCGGATCGTGTCACCTGGCCGGCCGCGAAAGAAGTCCGCCATGTGTTCGAAATCGATCCCCGCATATACGCTTCGGCACTTCAAACGGCCGCTAGACCACCCGCACCGCACCAAGCCTTGTGGGGTGGGCCCTGGCGCCGGCCCTGGCCCGGCCCCTTGCGGCCGTGGCCGCAACACGACGCTGCCGTACGCACGCCAAGTCCGCCACCCTCCGCCGTGCCGGGTTACGTGTGTGTCGCGCCGCCCCTCCCTGTGGGGCTAAAGAGGGGCGGGTCAGCATGCTGCGAATGACCGAATGTCATCTGGGGCTCGGGGGTAGGGAAAAGCCCGAGGTGGATGACGCTTGACCAGAAAGTACGTCCATTTCCTCCCCTCCTGAGATTCAGTCGGGAAGTTACGTGAGCTCGGCGCCTGCGAGACTTGGGGTAGGCCACCCCGCAGCACACGCGTGCACTGTAAGCTGCACGTTGCCTACCTACGAGGCGCTATGGGAGCTTGCCAATGCTGAACTGGGCAGGTTCGTAACGGCGAACGACGGAGACTACTGCCTGGATGATGATCCCTGCCAAGAGCCTCCCGGAGTTATGCGAGGTGCAAGGCTGCGGGCGTTATGCCACGATAAGCCACACACTACTTGTCACCGTCGGGTATAGGCACGCGGGCCGCACTGCCGAGCACGATGCAGTAACGCAGACCACGCCCGCACACAAGTCCCCTGTGCAGCGCAAAGGCGCGGCGGGGACCGGGCGGTACGCGACCGGACCGCCTGCACCTCTGCGGCGATATGTTGTACCGCATGCACGCGTGCGCACCGGGTTGCCTACGCCGGCTGAGCACGGCGTTCTGCGTCTGAGGCGGTGGTTGTGCCCGGGGAGGGCGAGGCGGGGGGCAGCGGGGGCTCGGGGCCAGGTGTCAAGTCGACGAGGACAACTTCATGTACACTCGGGCGTGGCGTGGAGCCGGTGGCCCCGGCCCGGTCCCCGCTCCGCCATCGCCCGGCTACACGCTCGTACGCCCTTTGAGAGCACGGGGGACGGGACGCACTGGACCACGAACGCGTGTGGGAGTTGCTTGTAAAGCCAAAGGGGGCGACGAGATGTCGTCGACATGCCGTCAGGTCCTTGTGCCTGGTGGTATTGCGCTCGCCCTCATCGTGCACGTGCACTTTGTGGAGGGGCATGGAGGGACGCTCAGGTGCGCGAGTTCAGAGGGCCACTGGTGTACTGGTGTACGGCGGCGAGCCCGCGGGTGCTCACCTCGTGCAGCGAGTGGCCGGAGCCCTTCCTCCGAGCGCCGCCACCCTCCAGCAGCGGTGCCTGCTCCTCGCTGACCATGCTGTATCCTCGACGAGGTCCTCGCGTCTTACGCTCTCGAGGTTCACCGCGCGCGTCGCGAGCACCCGCACGCCATACGCTACTCGGCTCGGAGTCGGTCGGAGAACTGAGCCCACACACGGACCGGGGCCGGGCCGGGCGCTGAGAGGAGACCCAGTCCAGCCGCCCGCCGCCGCCACATTTCCCACTCGGACTCTGCGGTTGACGTAGTGCCCAGCTGTCGCCAGATCACCGCGGCCGCGGTAGTTTCTTCACTGTTCGATCAAGGGCTTCGGGGAAGGTATTTCGATCTGTGTGCTCGGTTGAATTTATACGGAATCTGGAGAGAAATTTCTCGGATCTCGACTGGCAGCACTGCTGCGAGTTGAAGTGGAGGCGCGGCGCGAGCGGGGAGGGCATCTCCCCTTCTCACCTGCCCCCCCCCC